CTGCCCCGGGCTGGCCGCTCAGTCCCGCTGGAGCGGGGGCTGTGCCGCTCTCCCACCGCGGGCAGGAGCTGGACGAGCCCAGGCAGGTCTCTGTGGGCTAAATAAAGAACGATTCCTCACGTGTCCTGGCTCACAGGTGGGACACGAGGCTTCACTCCACCCCCAGCTCCCATCCCTTTGTTTTTATTCCCTGCTGGAGCGTGGCACTCAACCTGCCCGATCTCTGGGCAAGCTGAGCATGGAGCAGGGGGGTGTTGGGTGGTTTTCCCCCTCCTCCAGCTCAGCTGGTGGCTGGAGCAGCACATTCCCTGTGTGCCAGAGGGCTCCGTCCAGGCTGGGATGGAGAAGACAGGGAATGTCTCCTCCAAACATTCCCAGGAGGTTCTTTTTCCCTTGTGAGCACCTGAACACACAAAGCTGGTGGTTCCCCAACCCAGGAGGGAAAAGCAAGACCAGTGCAACGTGCTGGGCTTTAGAGGCACCTGTATTTCCTGGGAGTAACCCTCTTGTGTCCTGGCTGCGGGCTCCAGGCTTCCAAAATGGGAAGGGAAAGCTGCAGGGAGCAGCTCCAGCTCCATCCCTCCCATCCCCAGTGAGATCCAAGCCAGGATCCACCCAGCAGGACTCAGGCTTCGGCCACCACCAGGTCCCTGGTGACTTGGAAGGCAGCGATGAGGGAGCTCAGCTGGATCTTCTCGCTGGTGCCAGCGGCCAGCCGGTACCTGGAGCAGGGGCCAAGGGCGTTTACACCCATGGGGGTGCCCCCCAAAGAGCCCAGAGCAGGGCTGGGGTCTGCCACAGTGCCCACCAGGACCCTGGCACAGGACCCTGGTGCAGGGGGGGTGACACTTACTCGATATCTGCCATCTTGATCAGCAGCTGGATGCGGATGGAGGGCGGGAAATCCACTGGGGAGGGAAGGGGACACATCAGTGTGGAATGGGGGGGATGCTGGGCCCCCCCAGCTCAGCCAGCCCCCTCCGTGTGCCACCTCTGTGCACGAAGAGGTGGAGCTCGGTCAGGATGTCCTGCAGGGCCAAGCCCTTCAGCGTCTTCAGCTCCGTGATTTCTGGGATGGCAGCGAGTCAAGGCCTTGCTGCCAGGCTTTTCCCTGCCAGATCCCACTCCTCACCCCTGTGCCAGCCTCAAGGAGCCTCCCCAGCGAGCCTCACCCACCCCAGCCAGAGCAGGACATCCCAGGATGGAGATCTCCAGGAAAGAGCAGGATTTGTCCCCACAGGGGGGACAAAGGACAAAGGCAAAGGACACTTCACCCACCCCAGCCAGAGCAGGATGGAGATCCCTGGGAAAGAATAGGATAGGTTTATCCCAGCAAGGATAAACCTCAAGGCAAAGGACACTTCACCCACCCCAGCCAGAGTGGGATATCCCAGGATGGAGAGCCCTGGGAAAGAGCAGGATTTATCCTAGTAGGGAATAACCCTCAAGGCAAAGGACACTTCACCCACCCCAGCCAGAGCAGGACATCCCGGGATGTCCTGGGATGAGCAGGATTTGTCCCCACAGGGAATAACCCTCAAGGCAAAGGACACTTCACCCACCCCAGCCAGGGCAGGATATCCCAGCATGGAGAGCCCTGGGAAAGAGCAGGATTTATCCCAGCAGGGAATAAGGCAAAGGATACTTCGGTAGGCAGTGGAGAAGTCCTGGTTGAGCATCCAGTCGAGGATGTTGGCGATGTCTGACTTGAGGGGGTGTCCCGTGCACGTGTAGACGTTCTCCTCCGTCACCTTCCCGAAGGCCATGGAGGTGCTCTGAGGGAGGGGAGGGAGAGAGGAGGGATAGAGGGATGAAGAGGAAGGACGAGGAGGCCCCTCCAGGCCACAGTCCCACCTGCAGGATGTTGAGGGCCCTGCGCATGTCCCCGCTCGAGAGGGTCACCAGGGCCTTCAGCCCGTCCTCCGTCACGTCCACCCTGGAAAACAGCACCGGCGCTGCACGGGCGGGCGGATCCGCGGGAACGCCGCGG